GAACTCTCCTGCACTCTGTAACACTTCTTCTGTAGGATTTGGCATGCTCTGCTTTGAACTGCAGTGTCTGGAGCATGGAAACTGGATCTTGGTGTTCACCTGCAGTAGCTCCCTGCAGGGAGCAAGGTTAAGAGCAAGGTCAGCTCACCCAGCATCTGTCTGTGGAGCACTTGTCGTTTGTCACTCTACACTGGCTTTGCAGTGCTTCCAAGGATACCACAAGTGAGAATGTGTCTTGGGTTCTTCAAGGCCAGAGTCCTATCTAGAAAGTAGGTCAGATCTGACATCCTGATGGGCCCTCTGACTAGTTAATGCCAACTGTTTGAGTGGATGGGGGCAGTGGAAAGCAGACTTTCAGGTTGGCATTATAATTAATCAAGTGGTGAAACCCTGGTATTGCCTAAAGTTATATAGCAAGTGAATGACCTTGCTGGGAGTAGAACAGGTCACTGTTCTTAGGCACTGACTAAGCCACACCTCCCACCCACTATAAAACTTCAAATGAGAAAACAAAGCCTCTCCCCTTCATGGCAGCCTTGTGGGAGGAATAGTTTATTCCCAGAATTGAGTTGTTAAGGATCTGTGTTACTATTTGAACGCATTTCTGGGCAGCCAAGCTTGCCAAGGCTGAGATACACGCCTGGGTTTTTGGTCGAGTTGCAGGTGGTGGGTAGTAGTGAATGTGGCACAGAGGCAAGACATGACCTTCCAAGGCTGAGTGGAACTGGGATCCCATCTCTGGCAGTCAGGGTTCTCCAGAAAAACAGGACGAGTAAATATACACATACTCGGGTTTAAATCAAGGAATTGGTGGCCACTGCTGTGGAGCCTGCAAGCCCAAGGTCTGGGGGCACCCAAAAACTCAGTAAACTAAGCAGGACCTGGGTGCTGCTGGCTTGGGGCAGAATCTTTTCTTTCTCAGGGAAACCTCAACTTTGCTCTAAGCCCTTCGACTAATCGCACGAGGCCCACCTGGATGATTGAAGATAATCTCCTTTTCTTTTTTCTTTTTTTGAGTTGGAGTGTCACTCTGTCACCCAGACTGGAGTGCAGTGGCTGCTCCCGACCACCGCAACCTCGACCTGCTGGGCTCCGGCGATCCTTCCGCCTCAGCCTTCCAAGTAGCTGGAACTACAGGCACGTGCTACAACGCCCGGCTAACTTTTGATTTATTGTAGAAATGATGTCTTGCCAAGTTGCCTAGGTGGGTCTCAAACCTGCAGGCTCAGGCAATCCACTCACTTCAGCCTCCCAAAGCACTGGGATTACAGGCTGAGCCACCGAGCCCAGCTAATCTCCTTTGCTTAAAGTCGCCTGGTTGATTGTAGATGCTACCACATCTACAAAGTACCCTCAGAGCAACACCTAGTAGGTTAGTGTGTATAACTGAATCACTGGGAATGCCAGCTTAGTTCCTTGACATACGAAACTCACCGTCACACCGTCCAACTCCATCTCTTCCTGGACAAGCTTTGTGGACCTCGGTTTCCAAATTGGCAAAAGGAAAAGAGTAACATCTTTCTTGGAGATGTCTTTTGAGGATTCAGAGACACTTTTATGTTAAAGGGCTAGGAATAGGAACATAGGAATCAATGTTCAGTTGATGATTTGCCTTTACTGCTCCTGAGCTCCAGGTCAGGCCTTCAGGACACCCCTGTCTTCTAGGGGAAATGGCTGAAGACTGGGACCTACTTCAGCATGAAAGGAATCCTTCCCTTCCCAAGGGGGGAGACCATACTGGAAATGGTTGAATAAGTTGGGGCTGTTCCATGCCGAGAAGATCAGACTGTTGAAGGAACGTGATTACCAGATTCAAATATTTGAAGAGTTGTCATGTGAAGGAGGTCTTGGACTGGGGTGTTTGTTAAAATGTAGATTGATCACTTGAGGCCAGAAGTTCAAAACCAGCCTGGGCAACATAGCGAGATCCCATCTCTGTAAGAAAAAAATTGAGCTGGGCTCGGTGGCTCAGCCTGTAATCCCGCCCTTTGGGAAGCTGAGGTGAGTGGATTGCCTGAGCCCGCAGGCTTGAGACCTGCCTGGGCAACTTGACGAGACCTCATCTCTACAATAAATCAAAATTCAGTCGGGCGTGGTAGTGCAGCTGTGGTTCCAGCTACTTGGAAGACTGAGGCAGAAGGATCACCGGAGCCCAGCAGGTTGAGGCT